CGGCAGTGAGAGGCGCAGAGACGGATGACGGGGACGATGATGATGATGACGATGGTGAGGATGATGACGATGACGATGACGATGACGATGACGATGACGATGATGATGATGATGATGATGATGATGATGATGATGATGATGATGATGATGATGATGATTATGATGATGATGATGCTGATGATGATGATCATGATGATCATGATGATGATGATGATGATGATGATGAGGATGATGAGGATAATGACGATTATGACGATGATGATGGTGAAGATGATGGTGATGATGAAGATGATGGTGATGATGATGATGATGATGATGATGATGATGATGATGATGATGATGATGATGAGGAAGATGAGGAGGAGGAGGACGAGGAGGTGGAGGAGGAGAAGGAGGAGGACGAGGAGAAGGATGATGATGATGATGATGATGATGATGATGATGATGATGATGATGATGATGATGATGATGATGATGATGATGATGATGATGATGACGAGGAGGAGGAGAAGGAGGAGGAGTATATATAGCGAGCGATTCTGATGATCAATGACAAGGGAAAAGAGCCAATCTAGGAGGCAGCCTATGCCACCTAGGTTGGCGGGGGGACGACAGGAGGCGGAGGAGGGCGCGCGGGTGGGGGGAGAGAAGCAGGGCGGCGCCTGATGGCGGCCACGGCTGCCGCGTGGTCGGCCGCAACCGCGGCGCCCCCAAACGGCGCCACGCGCCGTGCGCGGGGGGCCGCGCTCGCCGCTCTCTCTCTCTCCCTCTCCCTCCCCATCTCTCGCACTCGCCCTCTCCCTCCGCTCCTTCCCCCAGACAAGACTGCCAGGGACCTTGCCCTGGGAAATCCTGGTGAGATTCTGGGCCCCCGCCTTATCGAGGCGGCCCGAACAAACCTTCCCGAGGTCACGCAAATGCTGGGTCGAATACGCTCCACACGTTAAACACCACAGCACATTCGCCTCGGGCCAGAACGCCACGGCATGGGACGGGTCCACAAGACGACTGCGCACACAGACAGCAGCCGTCGGACGGAAGACAGAACCAGACCAGGCCATGGGCGTACACTGCGAATTCAGAAACGAAGTCAAATCGCGGGCGGTTGATGAGCAACCGCACTTCTGACACTGGGCGAAGTCACCACATATCATGGGGCACTGATGGGTCGACCTCACCGCAGCCGCGCGCAAGAGCTGACGAGCCGATCTCCGCACCTTCTCTTTGGGGGGTCGGGGAGGGCGTCGGCCCTCGCGCTCCAAAACATCTGACATTACGTCGAGCAAATGATTCTGCACCTTCCGAGCAAGACCATCAGCGAATCTGATGGGGGCCGAAACCGCATAACGGACCTGAGCCTGCTTTGCGAAGTGACTCGCAACCTCGTCGGCCACGGCATTCGCCAAAACAACGCCAGGGTTCAGCCCGCGGCGGATGGCATCCTCAACTTTGAGGTGGCTCGGAATCTGGATGAGAACCACAACACCGAGGCGCTCCAGAGCGCTCTGGACACGCCTCCACAGATCAACGTGAGTCTGAATTCGCTTCAAAAGGCCGGCCTGGACACGAGCGAAACCTCGAGCGACGTAAGCCGAGTCCGCTATATAACCCAGGCACGCCTGCGGGTGAGCACCTTCCAAGAAAGCCAAAAGAGCCCAGAGCTCACCACGATTCACAGACTGCTTACCCGTGATCCCGCCCCTTGTAAAAACTTTATGTCGGCATCCGACACCTGGGGGGGCAGGGTTAAAACATCATGGCCAAAAACCGCGACGCCCCACGACACCCGCCTCAGACGCTTATCCCTCGAGAACTCCCCACCACTCGCATCCCCAGCGCCTCAGATGCGAGTTCCTTCCAAAGGCCCAGGAAACACACCAGCGGCAGAGAGGATGGGGTCGTCGGGAGGAGGAGGAGGGACCTGCGTCCAGTCGCGGGGCACGAGACCGCGAAGCCAGAAGCACGGCACTTCAGCAGCAACAGAAGCAGCCTTTCGAGCGAAGGCTACGTCAACTGTCTGGAATTCATTGTTGCACGGGCACTCCCAGAAACGACGGATGTCCGTCTCGGGGGCCGAGTTACAACGGGGACAGGTGAGCTCACACTCCCCCCCCGAGGCCTGAATACGGGCCCTCGTCCAGACAGCCCCCGTGAGCACCGCGCGCAGCATGCCCCCTTTCTGAGGGGACTTCTGACGCAAAGACGCAAGGTGCCGCCAAGCAACCGTGAGGTCGATGCCTGATGCAAGACCCCCTCCATTGCGGAACTCGGCGGCAGCAGACCATAAACGCGCCTCAATGCTACGGTCAACCTCCTTTGAGGAGGAGGAGGAGCAGGAGGAGGAGGAGGAGGAGGAGGAGGAGGAGGAGGTCAATGCTACGGTCAACCTCAGGAGCAGCAGGAGGAGGAGGGGGAGGAGGAGGAGCAGGAGGCAAAGGGGGGCGAAGAAGACGGATAATGGGAAGAACCATGCCAGAGAGAAAGGGAGTTGTGGTGTAGACGGAGAGGGAACAGCATGATACGGAGGAGGAGACGGTGGGTAGCAATAAATGGTAAGTTTCGCTGCCGCCCCAGATCCTGACCCCCAGAGGTCCATGGAGGTCCCCGAAGGTCCCTGGAGGCCTGAAAAAGGGCCGAACACGTTCAATAAACCGTCCGAAAACGTTCGAAATCTTTCCTCGATCCTCGAGGAGGGCCGAGGGCAAAACTTAGCAGGAATAAAGTTGCCTCCTCCTCCTGCCTCCTCCTGGTTAGGGGGCGAGCTGGAGCCTTGCCTCCCCGAACCGGCGCCCCTTCCCGCGCCGCTCCACCAGCGCAGCCGCCAATGATTCCCGCCTCGCGGTGGCGCGCCTGGGCAGGCGGTGGCATTCCCATGTGCTCTGGTGTGCGCCACACGTTGCGATGCGGGTGGTAGGTGGGGTGCTTCTCTTGTGGAGCGGCCTGGGCCTTCGGGCTTCGGTTCCTATTCGGCTGTTCTGGCCATACTATGCAGTGCAGTGCAATGCAATGCTATGCCATGCTGCGCTATGGTACGCTGTGGTGACGCATCGATAGCGCTGTGCTACGCTGTGACCTGCCATGCCGTTATGTTGCCATGCGGTCACACTGCAATGTTGTGCAATGTTGTGCAACGTGGTGCAACGTTGCGCAATGTTGTGCTACGTCGTGCTTCGTTGTGACATGTCATGGTATCACACGGTAAAGAGTGTGATGCCAATGCGATGTTTTGCTATGCAATGACTCGCTGTTGTAGTATTTCATGCAATGATCTGCTTTGCAGTGCAATGCTACTATGCGATGCTAGGCGACGCTATGCCGTGCCAGCGCTGTGCTTACCAGATGCCGTGCCCTGGCGGCACATCGTCTGCAGTGCAAATCTGGTCACACGCGCGCTGATCGCGCGGCGGCATCCGTTGTGTACGATGAGGCGGGGGATTAGGAGGGAGCAGCAGGATGTCGCCTCAAAGCCAGCAGCGCGTCCGCACGACCTGCTTCCACCGGTCGAGCGACCTTGTAATGTCATGATGGACTGTGTGGCGGCCAGTCGGGCTTCCGAGCCTTTCACCACACCATGCGCGTGCGTCTGACTTTCGTGCCTTCAGACGCCCTCTTTTTCGGACGCCGCGTAGCCGATTCAAAATCGCTGAAGAAGGCCGAGCTTAGCTGCCCTGACACGCCTGTGCTGAAACGCAAAAAGGATCTTGTTCAAAACGTCTGTGTCGAACACACTGCGTGTTGGCTGGGCACGTGTTCGCTGTGCACGTGTTGGCCCACGTTTGGTGAGCGTATCGCGCCAGACTTCGTTTTCAATCTTCGTGCTGAGTTCCGCGTCAACACGCTACGTGTTGTTTGTTGCGTATCGGTAGAGCTTATAGGCCGAGATATAGAAGATCTGCGCGCAACGCTTGCGTCTGGCATGGGCGGTATTGTTCGAAAGAGGCTTAAATACTTGGCAATAAGCTAGCCCTCCAGCGGGATCGATTACCCGATATCCCAGACTCTTTCGTTCGACACTCTTGAGATCATTGGGTGAGGGCGTCCCCGCGACTTTGGTTGGCAACTTTGTTTCGCCGCCCAGTCTTTGAACTCTACAGGAGTTCAAGAATGAAGCACACTTCGTAGATGCCATGTTTCTTTAGCCTGCTCAGTGTGGAGTGGCGCCACGCGGCTTCCAATACCACTTTCACCGCTTTAATGCGATGCAGTGTCATGCTAATTTTGGCCATGTAAATCTGGTACAATGCTTTATGATGCAATGATCTATAATACGATTATTTACTACGTTGTGCTCTATGTTGTTATATGGCATGTAGTGCTGTGCTATGCCATCCCACGAACCTCTTTGTAATCCTAGCGCTATGCTGTGGCAGATGTGTGCAAAGTATTACGCAACGCTACGTACTGCCACGACATGTCATGCTGTTGCAGCGATGTGCTAAGTTATGTTGTTTTAATCGACGGCTTACTACGATCAGCTATGCTGCGCCAAACTGCAAGATGCTATGGTAGGTATGGCTTGCTTTCAGATGGAGTGGGAAACGTCCAAATTAGTTTCGCGCCAGGTTCATTTCTGAGCTCCGGGTTCGAATCCACCCGACTCAGCCTCTGGTGGGCTCAGACCCAGTCAAACTTTGTGCTCAAGCGCAGGACGGTGTCAAAATAGGGCGCGCCAGAAATCAGTTGGGGCCGAAACGCGCGGATTCAAACTGCCAGTTTCGAATCTGGACCCTTCTATTGCCCTTCTTTCCCACGACTTCCCGTAGCTGGCGCTGCTTCTCCCGCTCCTGTTCGCCGCGACGCCCCCTCCACTCCGCCTCGTTCTTATGCTGTTGTCGTCGTTCCGCCTGCTCTCCTTCTGCTCAGTCGTGCTCTCCCCTGCCGCGCAGTCCTGCCGTGCTGACGCACATGCTGGCTGCCGCGGCTTGCCTCTCTCGTTCATCTCTTCGCTGAGGGGTCTCGAGCTTTGCTCCGCACCGTTGCCTCCGCGCTCTGCTCACGAGGTCCTCCGAGACGTCTCCACCAACGGCACCGGGGTGCTGGCACAAGGAGACCGCGCGACTGCGATCTGCAGCCAGGTCTCAAGCACAGAGCGATAGAGCAGGCAGGAGCCCTGCGCCCTTCCTCCCGCAGGGTCCGTCTCGAGTGGTTAGCGCTCGGGGCGAGGGTACTGTCGGGCGGGAGGCCGTCCTCCATGGGCCGCCGCACGGGGTTGTTAGCGCTTGAACTCGCTACCACAGGGCGGACATCAGCGAATTCCAGCGAGTTCCCGCAGGGTGCAGGTGCGAGGCGTGGCATGCGAGGGTGCAAGGGGGAGTCGGGTGATGAGGGCGACTACAGCCAAGACGCTGAACTAAGGAACCATTCGGGTTGGGAAGGGGCTCTACGTTCCTTACATTTAGTAGGTCCGTCCATGGCTATTTCTCCAGCGTTCCTCGTCCACGCAGGCGGGTTTGGGGTCAAAGAAGGGGCTTCGTTCCTTATTTGGCGTTCCTTCTTTCAGCGGCCCGACTGTAGGTGGGGTGGATGTCATGGCGTGGGCCATGATGTTTCCTCAGATTTCATGGCGCCTCTTCTTATTTCGTTACGTCCCTGGCCCCCCCCCCTGGGCCGCGCAGATGCCGCTGGCTATGATTTGCGGCCCCCTCCCCTCTTGGACGCCCCCCGCTTGGCCGCCCCCGAACTCCGCGGGCGGGCGGGAGGCCATCTGCCGAGGGGTGGCGCTTTCCGCGTGGCAGGCGCAGGCGCTGGCGCGGCGCCTCGCTCAGACCCGAGGCCTGGCGCGGGGAGTGCGCGCCCGCCGATGGGTGCCCCGCCAGGGGCGGTCTGCGCTGCCGAAGCGGCGTCGGCGCCCTGGCGCTGGCGCTCGACTCGAAAAACAGCAAACGCATACATGATGGGCAATTTTTCCATTACCACTACCATATCTAGGACGGGAGAAGAGGGAGGATGAGTAGGCCCTCCTCCTCCTCCTCGTCCTCCTCCTAGTCATCACCTCCGTCGACCCTGCAGTGCCCCCTATGCGAGTTCGAGGCCTCTGACTTGGACTCCCTATGCCGACATCTACGCAGCCATCTCCCTGGCCCAGTTCTCCCTCGGAAGCGCCGCCGCCGCCTCGCGGACACCCCGAGCGCCGCCCTAGGCAATGTCCCAGGTGGTGGCGGCGAGCTGGATGCAGGGGCCTTCGGCGACAGTGAAACGTGGAGCAGATGGAGCCCACGGCTCGGCGCCACCAGCCAAGCAGGCCGCCAAGGGCAGCAAAAAGAAGGAAAAGGGCGACCTGCAGGCTGCGCTGTTGAAGGTGATCACAAAGCTGTGCCTCAACGACGCGCGCGAGCTGGCCAACCTCGCGGGGACAGTCTACCAGACGTGGGAGACTACCGAGACCGCGGACTCTTTTACGCAGATCATGATCGACGCGGGGCTCAAGTACGACGAGGTCCCAAACAAACCTCAAGGAGCGCCAGCAGGCCGGCGAAAACGTCGATTTCATGGCAAGAGGACCGCCGCACGTGCAGGTCTGGGGGGCGCTCGCTATGAGTTTGGTGAACCAGATGGACACCTTCCTGGACGGCAGCGATACCTACAAAGAGAGCGAGAAGAAGGTCTTCTACGAGTACTTCCAGAAGCACCTGGCCCAGAAGCTGCCGACGGATGTTGCCAAGCAGGTGCTGCACTTCCGTTACAAGAAGTTCAAGCCGACGAAGAACCAGGACAGGGCCACGGTGGCGGCGGAGGAGAAGAAGGGCAGGCTCACGTTCGCCTTCTCATACGATGAGCCAGGGAGGGAGGCGCGGTCGCTGTTGATTCAGTTTCTGAACTCGGACAAGGCCAAGGCGACGCAGCTGGTGGGACCTGCCCCAAGGGGCCCCCTCGAGCGCGAGGCGGCGAGGCTCCTGGCGATCTTCGAGAAGGGCGGTGGCAAGGACAAGGATCAGGATCAGGAGAGCTGAGGACAAAAAAGAGAAAAAAAGGAACGACAGGAGTCGTTCGCGTGAGCGTGAGTGCGAGGGCCCCCGTGAGAGACGTTTATTGAGTAGAGGGACCTTTGCAGGTAGTGAACGATGAGCAGCTTTAGTGGCCCGAGGGACCATCCCAGACCCCTTTGAGGCCACGGGTTTCGACACATATTCGAATCCCGATCTTCCCCCAATCCCCTTAGTAGTGGCGGCTAAACGGGCTCCACGCAGAGGAGGAAAGGGTAAGCAATATTCTCACGGCAGACCCAGTGCGTCGGTCCCCTTCGTGCGCCTGCGCGGCGCCTGGGGTTCGCCGTCGCTTCAGGGGCAGTGCTGGCCCTGCCAGAGGGGGTTCCCCCTGTCTCTTTTCAAGGTTACCCGCTCCCCCAATAAGTCAGGTTGCGCTGAGTTCATGGCCAGTTTTATGGTATGAGATCGAGTAACTCATTTGGACTCCCCTCGCATTGCTCATTGCTCATTGCTCCTTGTCCTCCTCCTCCTCCTCCTCCACCTCCCTCTCCTGCCTATGGTAGTGGTGGTGGAACATGGGCGCATCAATAAAGATAGTTTCTCGGAGGTCCGCGCGGACCTGAAATACATGTTTCTTATATGCAGTTGTTTGTTCCTCTATTGGTGGTGGGCCGTCGTCTCGCCTCTTCGATCAGAGAGGGTGAGCTCCTGAAGATGGCTGTCCCGTCGGGGTTCTCCGCGCCGCCGAGGTGTCGTCGATAACCTCGCGCTGGCTGCTGATGTTGTGCCGTGATCTCTTCTCCTCTTCTGTGGCATCTGGTGTTTCCTTTGCGTGCTCGGTTGACAGTAGGTACTTTGCGTCTATATCCAGCTTATCTTCATGACCTCTACTGTCATTGCTCGGTCTGCGCAGATACTACTTGACGCTGTGCGGTGGATAGGGATTCGGTCCATTACTTGGGGCCTAACGCGAGCTGCTGGCTGCTCTGGGGGCGGCAAGCGCCATGAGGACGGCAGGCGTGGGCGCGCTTTGCCTCGTTTCAGTTTTGACCTCTGTTCTTCGCCCCCGTGTTTCTCCTGCTGTCTGAGCAATTGTTTCGTATTCGTGATGTTCCTGCCAGAGTTGCCGCCCCTTCTGGAGGCAACCTCAACACATCGCACTGCCCTCAATGTGTTGCTTTGATGTCCCATCTCCCATGGTGCCAACCAACATCGCAGAGCGGATTTCGTTCGAAAACCAATCGGATGGACCTGGACTGTCCTGGAGAATTTTGCGTTGACAGAAATCGACGCAAAAAATCCGCTGCAACACGTTTGCAACGTCGGTGCAATGACACCTTCTCCCCCCCCAACCAAAGAGCAACTGTCATGCGTGGCGCTGGTGCAGCGTGGCCCGTCAGTAGGCCCCGCACTGGGGCAGAGCGCCTGGCGGTCCCCAGAAGCAGCTCGCCTCCCGCTGCTGCCCTGCCTCCCGCTGCTGCTCTGCGTGGCAGGAGGGGGCGGACCGGTCGCAGGCGGGAGCGCTCCCGCTCCTCCGCTCGGGCTGTCCCTCTGGTGCCCTCGGGTGCTCGAGCGCTGCCCCAAGGGGCCCCGGCTCGCTGGAAGCGAGTCCAGGAGCAGGGGCGCCCCTCGGACACGCGCCCATTTCTCCCCCTGCTGGCCTACATGGGAGGGCAGGGCTGTTCTCCTCCTCCTCCTCCTCCTTTCTCTTTCCGTCTTATTTCGTGCTCCTCTCCCCTTCCCTTCTCTTCCCTCCTCCTCGTTCTCCATCCCCCTTCTTTTTTCTTGTCCTCATCCTCCCTCCCCCGACGACGACGAGCCACGACGTCGTTGACGTCCAGCCCGTCTGTGCTCTGGCCGACGACGGTGGCGGCGGCGGCGCAGACGTCCAGCTCGTCCGTTTTGTGGCCGCTTTGCCTCCCCGTGGGGGGGGGCGCCCGCGTCCCCCACCTCAATGGGGGAGGTGGCAGGAAGGAGGAGGTGGACGATGATGATGATGATGATGATGATGATGATGATGATGATGATGATGATGATGATGATGATGATGATGATGATGATATGATGATGATGATGATGATGATGATGATGATGATGATGATGATGATGATGATGATGATGATGATGATGATGATGATGATGATGATGATGATGATGATGATGAGGAGGAGGAGGAGGAGGAGGAGGAGGAGGAGGAGGTTCGGTTCGGTCCTCCTCGAAGGTGCGAGTCAGGCTCGCAGCTACCGGGCGGGTGCCGCTCCCTGGGAAACAACAGCCGAGGTTGGCCCATGAGGGCCCACAGCTCAGTTGCAAACGCACAACAGTTCGGGTTGACCCCAAAGGGGGTCCAGCGACAAGGAGGTGGTGCAATAGATTTGGTGCAATCGATTTGGGGTTGCAATAGATTTGGGGCGTGCAGTACATTTCGGGGCTCAAATGTATTGCTGGGTTTTCGCGTGTAATACATCAGATGTAATACAATGCAAAACAATTCTTTGGCGCAGTACATTTGCAATACAATTGCCCCAAGTCTATTGCACCACCCATTTTCAGCTGGACCCCCTTTCGGGTCGCAAGGAACAGTAGGGCCGCAACAAGGCCCAAACAATCTCACTTATAAGACATCCTCCCTGCTCCTCCCCCACGCCTCCTCGTGCACGGCCACGTGGTCGTACACGGCGTCCCCGACCACGAATGCGGGCGCGTGCGCGGTGGGGGTGGGGGGAGAGGCACGGAGGGAAAGAATGGCCAGACGGAGCATGGACGAAAGTGCACACCCCACCCATGAGATACGTACACACCGACCATCATGAAGGAGCGATTAGAGAAATCCCGTGTAGCTGAGGTCCTAGGCACGGCTTATATTACATACCATCTGAAGCTCAGCGTGTGTCAGCGTGTGGCCAATGAGTCGCATCCAGTCCACAGCGAGTTTAGACACATATTCACTGGAACAGTTTTTGGCGGCCTTGGTCGCCTCTGCTCTCTCACGCCTCCTTGCTGCCCTGGTGGAGTCAATCTTGGGTAAGACATCTGGAGCAAGCTGTTGCGACGGGGGGGTGGGGCAGCTCAGG